AAAAGAGAGAGAGAGAGAGAGAGAGAGAGAGAGAGAGAAAGAAAGAACAGAAGTGGGACTCTATTAAACTAAAATGCTTTTGAATAGCAAAGGAAACAACAGAATAAAAAGGCAACCTTTAGGATGAAATAAACTATTTGCAAAGCATATGTCTGGTAAGAGATTGATATTTAAAATATATAAGGCAATCCTTCAACTCAACAAGAAAAACAAAAAAATATAAAAAGACAACATGATGAAAAAAAGGACAATAAGACTTGAATAGACATGTCTCCAGAGAAGATAAGCAAATGACCAGTGGGCATACGAAAAGTTGCTTAACATTGCTAATCACCAGGGAAAAGCAAATCAAAACCATAGTAAGATATCACCTTAGACCTGTTAAGATGTCCAATACTAAAACAGAGAGAGAGAAAATAACAGCTGCTTGCACAGATGTGGCAAAATTGAAGCCCTGTATACTATTGGCAGGAATGTAAAACTATATAGCTGCTATGGAAAACAGTTTGAAGGTTCCTCAAAAATAAAAAATATAACTACCTTATAATGAGTTTACTTCTCGGTAGTTATCCAAAAGAATTGAAATTAGGGTCTTGAAGTGTTACCTGCATTCTCATGTTAATTACAGCATTATTTACAATAGCCAAGAGGTGGAAACAAAAGAAGGGTTCATTAACAAATGAATGAATAAAGAAAATATGAAATACCTACAGTAGAATACTATTCAGCCATAAAAGAAGGAATCCTGTCATGTTACCATATGCTCAAGGATCTTGAGAGCATTATGCTAAGTAAAATAAACCAGTTCCAGAAAAACAAATATTACACTATTCCACTTTTATGACATATCTAAAGTAGTCAGACTCAGAAACAGAAAATAAAATGGTGTTTGCCAGTCCCTGGGGAGAGGGAGAAATGAGAAGTTGCTGTTTTATGGGTATACAATCTCAAGTCATCCTAGAGAAAGTTCTAGAGACCTGCTGTACAACAGTGTGCTTCTAGTTAACAATACATTTTAAAGTGTACTATATATTTGAATCTCTTGAGAGAGTAGATCTCATGTGTTTATTTTTTATCACAATTTCTTAAAAAGCCTACGTGGGTGGGATTGTAACTGTAAATGTCTTCAGGGTCCAACCAATACTATAAGTGAATAAAAGTGGGAAGATGATGGAGTGAGCATAGGGTGCAGTGGGTCTGCTGAACTATAAAACACCCAGTCACCATTCAATTCCAAACAGTTGCTGCCTAGTAGGGCAAGATTTGATTTTTCCAAATAAGCCACAAAACCAGAGTTTTATATAAACTCTTCCCATTTTCAGTTCAAAATACCTAGAACTCTCCTACTTAAAAATGCTCCCTAACCTAATCCCCAGCAAACTATAACATCTGGTGTTTTTGGCCAGAGAATGGAACCTTTACAATCTCCATACTAGGAGGATTAATTTGATATTTATATGTTGGATCCATTATAGCGAAGGGTAAGACCAGGGAAAGAGAAAAGTAATTAGGAGCTTCTAGGTAAGAAGCAGTGAAAGGCTGAACCAAGAATGGAAGCAGGAAAAATACAGAGGGGAAGCAGAATGATTTTGAATTAACACTACTGGTGGGGCTGTAAAATGGTGTAGCCAATATGGAAAGCAGTATGGAGATTTCTTGGAAAATTGGGAATGGAACCACAATTTGACCCAGCTATCCCTCTCCTTGGTCTATGCTCAAAGGACTAAAAAACAGCATTCTGCAGGGACACAGCCAATCAATGTTTATAGCAGTACAATTCACAATAGTTAAACTGTGGAACCAACCTAGATGCCCTTCAATAGATGAATGGATAAAAAAAAAAGTGGCATATATGCACAATGGAATATTATTCAACAATAAAAGAGAATAAAATCATGGCATTTGCAGGTAAATGGATGGAGTTTAGAGAAGATAATGCTAAGTAAAGTTAGCCAATCCCAAAAAACCAAATGCCTAATGTTTTCTCTGGTATAAGGAAGCCGATTCATAGTGGGGTGGGGGGCGGAGCATGGGAGAAACAGAGGAACTCTAGATAGGGCAGAAGGATGGGAGGGGAAGGGAAGGGGTATGGGGTTAGAAATGATGGTGGAATGTGATGGACATTACTATCCAAAGTACATGTATAAAGACACACACACACACACACACACACACAAAAGAACATAGCATGGCAGGATTGGTTAGCTGAATTGGTGTGAGGTGGGGATGAGAAGGAAGAGATAAAAACTTCTACAAGGTTTGGAGCCATTTGAGAGTTAGTTGAAGTCATTGTGCCCTTTTCCTCCAAATCCTTGAAAGTGTATGTATTAAAACTAGGGATATTCTCTTTTGTAGCTATTGTAAAATAATAATCAAAATAGGAAATTTAATATGACTATAATACCATTATCTAATTTATAGTTCCTATTATTTGAATTCTGTCCATTAATAAGTATATGTATATTTAATATGCCAAAACCCAATACCTTGGCAGAACTCAAAAGAATCCCTTGTAGGAAAACTAGTAGAATTACATAACAAGGTACTCCCTGATTATACACCATCCTCCCCTGGATGATTCTTCATCTACCTTCTGAACAGGAGCAGATGTATGCTAAACTGCCAAGCTAATAGCAATGATGAATAGTATTGTATGTCTTCTGTCCTTGCATAGATTGAGGATGCAATAATACTAGGAAGGAAATTCCACAGAGGAAGGCCTGGCATAGGAAAATAGAGTTCCTTTGGCATGCAGACAGTAAGTTCTGTGCAGAAAATATTTATGAATCAGCTACTTTATGAAGTCTGCTGGAAGGAGACATGAATGCCTATTAAAAAAGATCTGAGGAGGTTTCTTGGAGGAGACAGAATTTGTGTTCAGCCTCCAAGGAGAGGTCAGACTTCTCTTCCTGTAGAGACAAGGTAATATGAAAACACACAGCTTAATGGAAGATAAATTTAATCCTGGGATTTACTCTTGAATATAAATCAGTTAAATATTTATAGTATTGGCAACAGGATAGAGTATATGAAATAATAACAACACAAAGAGACTGGTTGCAAATTTGAATTGAGTGACAAGTGCTTACCATTTCTTCACTGTAGTATGGTTTCTGTAAAAAGGTAATGAGGCATGAGAAAGTTATTTATTAGGGAAAATAGAGTTGAAAAGTGATTTTTATACTTTCTTCAGCAAAATTACTACTTTAGGGATAGGTCTGGAAAACACACATTATTGTCATTATTCTCTCACCCTCTCTACCAAAAAAATAAAAGATGATTTAAAAGATGGTAATCAGAAGTACTGTTCTTCATATTCAAAATTCAAATTGGTTCCCTTCTTACTGAAACTACACAATTTATTTGCTTTCCTTTCCCCACCCCAACTATCTATATCTTTCAGAAGAAGTACTCTTATTTAACCTAAATATATTTATACTTGCTCTTTAAGGTGAGGACCAAGGATCATGTGTTTGATAATGTCGGCCACCTTATCAGATACCATATGGATAATAGTTTGCCAATCATCTCTTCTGGAAGTGAAGTAAGCCTTAAACAACCAGTGAGGAAAGATAGTAATCCGGGACTTTTGCATTCCAAGAAATGACAACACTGAAACATCATCACAATGGTATTTCAAGAAACTCCATTTTTTGTTAGTCCACATTAAAAATTCAAACTTTGTTCCTAAAAAAAAAAAAAAAGCACAAACTGTGAAGTGCATATTTCCAAGAACATCATGGACAAAGTCTTTTATAAAACAAAAAACTAACAGTATATCTTCAGAAAATGAAAATCAGAGAAGAGGAAGAGGATTGCTTCATTTATAAAGAAATTATACATATGCACGGATGTCACTTTTTAAGGTCATATTGCATTGACAACAAGCTAAAAGCACAATTAAAATATCACATGCTAAAGACAACTTGAACTGCTGGGATAGTGTATGTGCCTTTTAACTTGATAATTTGGGGAAGTTTTCATATGGGGCAGATAGTCCATTTCATATGGACTGATAGTTCTGGGTGTTTTCATGTTCTATAACTACAGAACCATTTGCCAAAAATGTTTTTTCTTGCTAAAAAAAGAAGCAATTTGCTTGATAGTTACTGACTTTATTTCATTTTTCTGCTTAGTAGCATCTTTCATGGCAATGTTAAAATAAATATGGCATTGAATTCAAACTGTGTCTATGCCAATGGAATCAAATCAAAAGCCCCTGAAACTGTTAGTCTTTTTCATTTGTCTGTCCCACTTGCTGTTTAAAAGGTTGTAAAGGTTCTAAATTCTTTGGCCTAATATTTCTCAATCTTTGCTATTTGGACTGTTTTTATACATTATGCCACAAACTTAAGAGGCCAAATCTGTCAGTCATTTTTTTTATTTTATCATTATTCTCTCACCCTCCTTGCCAAAAAAATAAAATGTGATTTAAAAGATGGTAACCAGAACTACTGTTCTTCATATTCAATATTCAAATTGGTTCCCTTCTTTTTGAAACTACAGAATTTGAAAATATAGGGAAATTATCTTTTGACTTACTGCCACTGAATCATAGTTTTGTACCTACATATGTCCTAGCACCTTTTCTAGATATGGTTAGACAAAATGCAGAAGGGTAAAAACATTGAATGAAATAGTAGATCAACTGGTAAACTGATAATGTAATTAAGCATTATATAGGGATAAGTATTAGGCTGTGACCTTGAGTAAGTTGCTAAACTCATCTGAATTCCAATTTTCTTGTTTATAAAATGAGGGAATTTGACTAGGAGAGTCTAGTCCTACCATAGTATGAGTCTATAAAAGGCAAGTCTTTCCTTTGTTAAAGGTCAATATTGATAAACAGTCTGTATGGTCAAGGTTAAAAATTCAGAGTTTTTTTTCCCTTTAGTCTGTGTCTATATTCAGGATAAATGGCTAACTGAGATTAACATTCACATAGTTCAGACCCCACGCCTTTTAGTGTAAGACAGTGAAAGTTTAGAATAATATAGGCAACGTAGTACAAATGGATTTAGTTTGCTTTCATTAGCAAAAATGTACTGCAGTTCTTTACTTGCCTTTGCATATATAGATATGGCAGTGTGTGTGTTTAATCCTGAATTATCTCAATAATTGCCTTAACTCTGTTTCATTTTGGCTAAGTAGATATAACCTAATATTTGTGATTGTGATACATTTGGTAAATTTTCAATATGGGAGACTTTTTTAAATAGAAATCATCAGAAACCAAACATAATGAACTCTAGTATTGTTATGGAAAGACTTATGATTTTATTTCTGTTGCCATTGATTTCTTAGGTAGGTTCATTTCTTTTTCTACAACTAGGAAATAATGTATCTTTCATTAATTTTCTGTACATCTTAGTTCTTGATCACTTTTCCTTATAAAGGGCATCAGTATGGCTACAGATAACAGAAATTTATGGGTAATCTAACCACCTTTATCAGAGACAGGGCAGGGCTGTAGTTGGACTCAATCTTCTGAGTAGAATGTTGACTGGGAAGCAAGAAGTTCCTGATACAAATGAACACAGATAGCAGTAATCGTGTGAGCAGTACATGTGGGTAAGCAGTATTTGACTATAATGGCATAGCAATTAGGCAAGCAATACTGTATTTATAAATACCACAGGCATAGTAAAAGAAACACAATAAATGTCTGCATGCTATTTTAATCTCACGTTCTTCATCCATTTTATAGTGAAAACCTATTATAAATATCTGTAAATGATTTTTTTAAAAAAATAAATGACTATTGCTTTGTGACAACTGACAATATATGCCTGGTGTTTGGGAATTGGAAATTTTTACCATTTGTAGGATGTATCAGGGTCCTGCTACAAAGCAGATGGCTCAGATTGGGTAATTTGAGATGTGGGCAGAATACAGGGAAACCACAAGGGAAAATTCAGTGCTCTGGGGCCCAGTGGAAAGGAAAAGAGAGGAAGCAGTTACAGAATCCAGAGAATTGTGTGCAAGGGCTGCCTTTGTGAGCTATGGTCTATCCTGGAGGAATGTAACCAGCCCTGATATCTCAACAGAGAGAAGGTGAGGGGCATTTTTAACCTATTTTCCCCCCTCTCTGAATTCCAGATAAGATCCTCCCCTGGTCTAAGTAAATTGAAGACAGAACAAGACTTGATGTAGTCCTCCTGAAGGACTTGAAAGTTAGCCTCCTCAGGCACAGAGGAGGATGCAAAAGAGTAGAGAGAAAATCTGAAAGGGTAAATGGAGCATATCCAGCACAGAAGACTTGGGAAATAGTCAAACTTCTCAAAACATCAGAGAAAGTTTCAATTTGTCATTAAGGCAAAGCTAATTTGCACAGAAATATGTATAAATATTTGGGTAACTATATATGAATCACGGCAAAATGTCAGCTTTTTACTATTAATAAAAACTGAATAAGCTGTATTTTGAGTGTTGGTTATTTTGCTTAAGAACAACTTCACATACATTTAAGTCTTAACATATATACTTTTGATCCTTGACTTCCCTGTTTCTTGAAAACCCCTCTGCTAATTTTGCCATTTTCTTACTTGTAATTATATAAGGAAAAACAATGTATCTGACTCTGCTACTTTTTATGATTGGAATTATAGATCTACATAGATTACAACATGAGATAATTTCTTACTATGTTGAACACATATGTGAAACATACCATTCTATATCTATGGAAAATATTTAAATACACACATATTAGTATTAGAAATGAATTGGTACTTTTATCTTTTTGAGATTCTTATATATAAGATGGGATTTTTCCTTTATTTATATGCTTGCTCCTCCTTGCTCCAGTTTTAGGTAATTTTATTGTCTTACTAATGGGTCAAATAATCTTATTAGTGCGGGAATAAAAGAGAGTTTTGCCTATGGACCTTACAAAGAAAGAGCAATAAGGGAATGCTACACACAATTTTCACATGTAAATTTGATAACTAAGAAGAAACAGACCGATTTCTTTCAAAAGTACAAGCTATCACAATTCACCCAAGAGGAAATTGATGTTTGAATAGCAACATAACTATTAAGAAAAATTGAATTCATGATTAAAAACCAACCTGTGATGGTACTCAAATATCAACTTGATTGAATTGAGATATCCTTAGGAAATACCTATAGTTAAGAGATTTCGGGTGTGTCTATGAAGATGTTTCCAGAGTCATGTAGGCATAGCATGGCACTGGGATAGAAAAATAAAGAGGATACCCTCCTTGTTTGTTGGTATCACTGTTCAATACTCTGGGTTACCACATGGAACAAAAAGTGGAAAAAGGAAATAAGTGTGGGTACAAGCTCAATTTTTATTGAGTGGGTGCATCTATTGCTGCTGCCATGGCCCAGGAACATTGGACTCCAGCTCCTTTACTCTTCCAACATGAACTCTCACCAGCAATCCTCCAGGGAGCTTCTAGGCTTTCAATCTCCAGTTGGGGCTACATGATTGTTCCCTCTTAATCAGAGGCTCCAGCTTCTTGGACTGAGCAGCTATTAGTTCCTCTGGGTCTCCAGTATGCAGATGTGGAACTATCCAATTTTTGATCATGTAGATCCCCTTTTATAATCATTTGTGTGGGTACACACACACACACACACACACACACACACACTCCCCCCACCCTCTGTTGGTTTCTGTTCTTCTAGAAAACCATAAGACTATCCCCAAAAGAAATTTTAGATAATTTTAATAGAGAACTCAATCATTTAAAGAATAGTTAACATCAGTGCTATGCATTCACTTCTTGAACATTAAAGAGAACATTGAACTTATATATAGGGCTTTTCCTTCATTGATAAGCTTGCTTCTCCTTGCTCCAGTTTAGGTAATTTTATTGTCTTACTAATGGGTCAAATAACCTTATTAATGTGGGAATGCAAGAGAGTTTTGCCTACAGACCCTACAAAGGAGGGCCAAATAAGGGAGTGCTACACACAATTCTCACATGTAAATTTGATAACTAAGAAGAAACAGACCAATTTCTCTCAAAAGAACAAACTCAATCATTTAAAGAAGAGTTAACATCATTTTTTGAAGCAAATATTACTCTGACATTAAAACCAGACTAAGTGAAAAAAAGAAAAATATCAATATCCTTGTGAATATAGATGCAAAAATCCTTTAATGTTAGCACATAGTATTTCAATATATAAGAATAATCATAGTGAGATTCATTCCAGGGATGCAAGGCTAGTTCAGTGTTTGAAAAGTGATGACTATGAGCTACCACATTAACAATCCCAAGAAGAAAAATCACCCAGATCCATCCGCACTGCCCTGTGCGAGTCCCAGGCTCACAGTAGGCCTGGTCCACCTCTCCCCCAGTTGGGCAGACACCTTCCAGAGCCTAGCCTCTGGCGCACTACCTCGGAGGTCAAGCCCAGCAGCCTAGATCCGCCCACACCAGCCTGTGTAGGTCCCAGGCTCACAGCAGGCCCAGTCTACCCCTCTCCAGGCAGAGCAGACACCTACCAGAACCTAGCCTCTGGTGAAGAACAACCCCTCCAACCAGCAGACTGGGAGGTCAGCTAGGTGACCCAGAACCACCCACCCTGGCCTGTGCAGGACCCAGATCCAGGATGTAGTAGCATTCATTTTGGGACACCAGCAGGGTCTGGAAGCCCAACATCAAGGTGAGGTACAGACAATCTGCATGGGTACTACAAGAATATAGGGAAGAAACTGTAATATCTCAGATCCACACTGCAAGAAAGGAAGACACACAGACAACATGAAAAAAACAAGGGAGGAAAGTACCCCAAACAAACCAGGACACTATAATAACAGAACCCATTTTCAACCCAACAGTGAAGTTGATGAAATGTCAGAGAAGGAGTTCAGAAGGTTCATAATTAAAATGATCTGTGAATTAAAGAATGACCTAAATGAGCAAATATAGGAAAAAATTGATCACTCCAACAATGAGATAAGAGAGCAAATACAGGTAGCAAAAGATTACTTCAAGAAAGAGAGACTCTGAAAAAAAAAAAACAGTAAGAAATCCTTGAAATGAAGGATACAATAAATCAAATAAAAAAACTCAATAGAAAGCATAACCAACAGACTAGATCACTTGGAAAAAAGAATGTCAGATAAGGAAGATAAAGTATACAATATGGAAAATAAAGTTGATTACATAGTGAAGATAGTTAGAAACCATGAACAGAACATCCA